TATCTGTTGTCTGACAAATCGAGTCCATTAGTAACGAACTGTTTATCCGATAATAGTGAACTAATTTATGGGGTTGTTTTCTCCAACGGTCGTTATATTGCTTTATTGAAATATTTTGCCAATAATTTAGGGTGAATTATGCGGCTGATTTATTCCCGGTCCTTTTGACTGATTAGTTCTTAAAATGGACAATGTGTAACTGACGGGCTCTTAAGACAAAACATCCTTGTATAAAAAAATGGCATTTGTATGAGTGGAGCTTAAATTAATTTCAAGAACCGTCTGCCTGGACCTTCCCGTGTAATCTTCTTATTTTCGACTAAGACACGTAACGTTCATTCATATTTAAATACGTTTGTCCCCGTTTCCATCTACTTATTGAGCGGATTCTGCTTAATCCCTTTTAAAAAAATGAACTGTTGTCCTGCACGAGCCGTTCTTCCTGCCTTGAATACAGGACCGTGTAAAAAAAGTGTTTTGCGAGGGAKATTATGCGAAAGGAATATAGWGAGCTAGACATATTGTTTTGAGCACGTTTACAGGCAAATTTGCGCGTTGGAAGAAATCTCAGCATAAAATCTTGAAACAATCTGACGACTCAAATAAAGAAAAACAATTGACATTTTAAAATAGCACTCGCAACGACGAGAAAGAATTAAATACATTTATGTAAGTAAAGGCTATTTGGATTCTTGAAGAAACACTTGAAATAAGTGTATGTTACGGACCTTCAACCATCAGTGCCGCGCGTATTGTTCTCTTTTTAAAATAAAACTGTAATTAAAACGGCCGCGCTGTTCAATTTGCACACAAAAGATCTCATTAAGGTACTCGTTTATGGCACATTGTTGGAGTACCAGAAGAATTCACTAAAGAACTTGCCTTAAGTTGATTGGCCTCTACTACTGGGTGAAATTTGGATTCGGATCTGGGCATACTTTCATCGGTTTACCAATTTGCCGTTTCAACAAGTCATCATTTGTATTTTCATCATGTAGAATGTTTAGGGCTGTAGGAAAAAAAGCGGAAAACATCCGCCTGTCGAGAAAGGGAAAGTCAGAAGAACACTTATCACAATTACCATCAACAATATTAGAAATAACGGTTCCCAAATGTCGTTGCGCGACTAATAAATAAATTCCGTGTTAATTTTCCCATGGTGCTATTCCTGCCAGCAGGCGTTTAAATCTGTTGTTAGGCTGGTAATGACAGTTTTTCTTATACGGGTATAAGTCGGTTGACAACACGGCTTATAGAGCCCAACAAATCAAGCCAAACGGACAGCTGATACATGTTTTTCATTCGAAATTTTCCTTCTTTCTAGTGATTCTTTTGATATTTTAATTCAACTAGAACAAAAGCAAAGCAAATATCCCTCAAGTGTAGAAAACTGATGTCAAAAGACAGTTGATAACATCCCAATTCGCAGGAAAGGTATTTTTTTTCAGCAAGAAAGCTTTTACTGAAAACAGCAAAACTTAAAGTGAACGAATGCCAACTGCTGAAATAAATATTGACCCGAATTTAATTTTATAGACGTACAAATTGCTCATTTCCAAGTCAATTTCGAAAGTGGAGAAGTTTCTGTCGCCTTAATTTATTCAGGCCTGAGTCATATTTTGGTAACGAACATACCAATCCCCTTTGCCGGCAAAATAAAATTAGGAAAATCCCAGTGAATTGATGGTGACGTTTTATTTTATGGCGTGTTCAGACTGTGAAAGTGGGCCTATCTAACGGAATGGAACAATAAAACTCTGGTTTACACCCTTAAGGACATCATCTTATCACTTGGTAAAGCATTTATAGGGGGTTGTTATATGAGCATCATTTTATTGATCCCCATATGGAATCGTGCGGCAAAATAGTTCTTCTGGCTGATGCGTTTTGAATGCAACTTTTGGAGCAAGTTTATTTATGCAGCCACAACACGGCGGACAAAATCGAATATCGAACAAAGTGCTTTTATGAAAAGAATAGCAAAACCTTTACCAACATAGCGTGCGTTTTTGCCAACTTTCGAATTGCCCCGGCAACTTTACCCTTCAAAGCGCAAACTTGCCAACTGATCGGTGGTGTATCACAAAGAGTCGCTACTTCGCTTGAATTTATTTGAATATATTTTTTTAAATAATTTCGTTCGCCTCAGCCAGAATAATTTAACATTTGAATTTTCCCAGCACTTTGTCTGATAAATTTCAGGAACTTCCCAATTTAGTCCAAACAATTGGCTCATTCCATACTAATTACCTCTTCGTGGATACCTCAAATAATTCAACTAGTCCAGACCTTTCCGTATACAAGTGTTTTATTAGAGCTCGATGACTCAGACTTGAGGTCACAAGGCTAACCCCTTTCGCACAGACGGATAAAATTACGGAATTGGGCTCATAAATTTCGCATTTTATTTCATTGCGTGTCCTCACTGTATCAATCGCTAAAGTTGTCGAAAATGTAGCAATAAAAAGTTTTTATTTGCCCCTACAGCATAATTGCAGACAGAAATTCATCGAACATTTATTAAACTGTTTGCTTTTGTAAACATATTACAATTTTCTTTGCAGAGGAAATATAGGTTTTATAAAAGCATTTTTCCCCCAGAGTTAATCTATGGTTTTTCCAAAAGTCTTTAACAGTTCGGGTATCGAATGCATAAATTGCACTGCCCTGATTCCAGTTCTTTGGCCATTCTAGACCGGCAGTAAAAGCGTTCTTTGTATACGGAACCAGATTTTAAAGCAGATTAAAACCAATTCCTTTATTCAAATGCAAAGTACTATCGAGATAAGACTCATTTACGCGTAGGATTACACAGGAAGTAAGAATCGGTATTGAAATGAGTTAACTGGATTTAGTTCCACGTACGTTTCCTGTGCTTTGGAAACCATAGAACAGGAATTCGACCAGAAATTCAATGGACGTTTTGCATCAACTGCTTTAATTAACAGACCTCAGCTTAAAGGCCTTTGTAACCATCAGAGCTACTCAAATCATCAAAACTACACGATTGATGATCCACCTCTGAAGATGCTCGCAAATTGTCGAAAAAAAGTTTTCTCCTTAATCGGAAATGTGTGAGATAAAAGTTGATTGATATTGCTGCATAGGAAAATATAAGAATACTAAACAGCAAACAGAGTTCTAATTAAATAAATTCGCAGCAATTTATTTAGGTTTTCTTTGCATTTGCTGTATTTTCGGAGCGCTGTGTGTGTTTCACTCTCAGAGGAAGGTGGTTCATTTAAGATTAAAAACTCCGCGTAATAAATGTCTGGTTAGAAGAGAGTTACGCTATCTGTTAGGAAATTTGAAGCCAAAAGTTTCGGTTACAACAGACATCCTATTCTACATGCAAAGCCGACATTCTTGTTACGATAACTAAACAGCACTGTTTACTGACCGAGTTTGAAAAAAGTTTGGTTGTTTAATTAAAGGTCAATCCGCTGCAATCTAAATTTATTTGTTCTTTGCAACAGTGAAGCCAATAAAACTCATATGTTCAAATATGTATGTAAGAAGTTTTGTCAGTCAGGTCGCAATAAAAAGTCATGGTAAACTTTCCATACAGAAAAAGAAAGTTCATTAGAGAGACTTTCTCATTTTTATGAAATGGCAGTTGTAAAGTTTTCACAACTTTACTGAATAATTAGCACATATTTTTAAAATGTCTTGATATTTTTGTATTCGATGCGCCATTAGATGGAAAATTGAAATTCCGCACACAAGCTGGCCTAGACCACACTCAAATCAAATAAAATTGGGATTGCCATGGCCAAATCCACTGCCTTTTTATCCAAATCCTTGTACTCAATCGTGGGAGGTTTTATCGGGCGAGTTCTTTAAACGAAAGGGTTAAGCAAACAATGTGGCATTTATAATGAGTTTCTGCTTTACTTTAGCGGAACAATTCAAAAAGACTTCAAAGAAACGTCGGGCAGTCATTCGTTTTTTCAATTTTATCCTTCGCTTCCTTTCTTTCGTGGTGCACGACGATACAAACAAACCATGCTTTTCCCATTCGCAGAGCCTTCGGTGCGCAGACTTTCAAGGATCCAATATGCAAACCATTAAGAGGCCCTAAGGTATAAACGAATCGAAAATGCTTGGCCAGTGGAAATATGGTTTAGGACACAATAATTTTCAAACGGATTGATTTTTTCATAATCAACAGTTTACGGTAATGGAATGAACAGTTGATGCGACTAATCGGAATTCAAATTTGCATAATTTGTTACTTGCAACAAGATCTAAAGCGGCATTGACTGAAAGACACCAACAAATTTATTGAAAATTTCAGCTTCAATACAGTTGAAACCGAACTTTCGCCCCAACTTTATAACAATCTTATATTTATGTTCATCTTCATACTCTTGGTTTTGTATGTTTGTGCAACTTCGCTGTACTCGAAAACACAAGAACAACTTGGTTACAATTTTTTTTCCATTCCCAATCCACAAATACAGTTACTTCCAAATCGATTTGTAAAGAAGAAGGACTGGCAGCCTTAAATCCACCATGAGTCACCGCTAAGTTCACAGAGTAATTTTAAATAGTGGATTACGTGCCAATACCTCCGGGGCTTTTCAGTCTCAGGAAAAAAAACCGCGCAAAAGTACACGAACATTGATTAAATCAGCATTTAGTTTAAAGTTTAAAAAGTAGAGCAATTAGGATTTTCATTAGATTGTATTTTTTCTTTTGATAAACTTGGTTTTTTACTTTCATACAAATTTCGAATGTAATCGGCTTAATTCATTATTTTTATACCGGACAATTTCTTCTTTATAACCGGAAGAGTTTCATGCCAATTAGCGAAAACCATACATGGAAGCAACGAAGAGAACAACTCATTTCATGCAAATAATAAAGACTTGTTGTCATAGATGACATGAAAACGTATGCTTATGGAAGTCTTCACATTCTTTGAATTGTGCTTCGGCTGCCATTAATTTTCAGCAATCTTGAAACAATCTCTTAACAAGAAACAAATACTATTGACACCAGCTGTTCACAATTATTTAATTGGCAGGATTTTAACAAGTTGAGTTGGTTGAAATATATAACAATACCAGATTTTTGGCGGTTTGAATCACGTTGTAGTTTGGGTTAGTAAACCGCAAATATTGCTGGAATCTGAAAAAAAGAGCAATTTAAGAATGACTATAATTAAATTAACATGTATTTTGTATTACGTGCTAAAACTAACTTTGAACTGGTTTACATTTTAACTTAAAAACCCGGAAACTTATCATTTAACTGCGTAAACATAATTTATTGTGCTGCGAGCCCCATTCAAATTGCAATTAAGTTCAGACATTGTAATTTGCTATTAAGGCTTTTGTCCAAAGAAGAAATCATTGAAAATTGCGTAAATGCAACAAAATTAGTATTATCACAGGGAAAAACTCTTGGCTTTTTCCTTCTGGCATTGAGACTCAATAAATCATTTGATGCCCAAGTACTAATCGCGCATTTTTATAACATCCAGACATAATTCACCGTTAAAAACCTCGTTTTTCACTGACCGTGCACACTCACAGTCGGACCGGAGAAGAATTATCCTCTTCTTCGGTCTTCAATAAATTCCTCTTGATTACTTAGTGGGTCAGCAGTCTGTGGAAAAGAGCACAGTCACCGAGTAGTTCTTGCAAGTAACTGTACTTCGGACTTACATGCACTTGTGTAGGATTTATATCGATTACATTGACACACTATTTTTATATTACCACTTTGCTTATCGATTAGTTAATGTTTGGTCGCTTTAATTGATTACCTTGACCACAATTTATGCACAGTTTTTTATTTATTAGCTAATATTATGTCATTTTAATTGCCGGTAAGCTGATTGAAAAGTAACAAGTGCGGTAGGATTGCTTTCAGACCTTGTGATGAACTAGAGCAGAAGGAGCGAGATTTAGGAAGCAGAAAATAAACATTGCAAAATTGAAATATGTATGTTGACTCTTTGATCCCATGCCAAATGTCCAGTTGTGTTTATTCCAGTCAAATTGGGTCATTTAATGTGAATATAGGAAGTTTATATAACTGGGGAATAGAAATAAAGGACAAGACATGAATTAAATTCTGAAATAAAACAGTGAAATTTGAGATGCAGAAAACAGGCTAAATCAAACGTCAGGTAAATGTTTCTTGGAAGGTCAAAAGCTGGATTTTATTGCTTATTTTTAAGTCTTAAATTACATCCGCTGAGCAATTTAAATCACTTCTTCAATCCATCCATGTGGAACTCTCAGTGTGGTCTAATTTTAGACAAAGCGGAGGTAGCTAAGTCCCACATTTGGTCTTCCAAGAATATCCAATTAAATAATGTTTCAATAAAAAATTCATGCCTCCCCCTATTACGCTCTCTTCAGCCGCAGTACGCTTATCAACCCTTTAAATACCCCACATCTTCTTAAGGAAGCAAGGAAATGATGTCTTTTTGGAGTAACACAACGCGGAAATTCAGAGACATTATATTTTCAAACGATCATTAATATTAACGAAAGTACTGGTTTTTTGTTCCAGTAACGTTGGTAATCATCTTAATCAAATCATCTTGTAAATGTAGTGAAATATTCTGAATATTTAAACGTAAATGCCCGATTTTAACAACGGGTTTAATTTAGATCGAAAAATGATTTAGCAGGATTAATTTCATATTACTAAACAAGTATTTATTGAATCGGGCCTCGTGTGGGAGATTTTCGTATATGTAAAACGTTTTCACATTGTTTTTGTATGCTGTAAAACGTACGACAATGGGATTATATCGCATGTGAAACTGCAGAACATTTTTCAAAACGCGCTCATTAAATTTATTAATTGCTTTGCTCTTGTTCGATAAATAATCCAGGCTATTTCCTAATGCTTATCTTGCTAAATACTCAGCTGCATGTATACAAAAAGGATGTATCTACGTAACAATTGCGATATTTGCGTCTGTATTTTCTGCATCTATTCTCTCATGTTATACCAGAACATGTTCCGCATTATTCATGTAATCGTGTCGGTATTTTGTAACGGATCCAGGAAACGTATTACACTAAAAATAAATGTCTTATTTCGAAAATATACTTCAACGTTTCTTGGCGTTTTACGGCTCGGCCAAGACGTTCAATGAATCCTTCTAAATTTAATAAGACAAATAAATGATGAGCTTTTCGACGTGCAGAAAGCTCTTCCTGCCAGGACTTCAATGTATGGTTTTCCACTTAAATATTACTTTTTTCTGTACAATTTACTGGAGGAAAGTTTTCCTAAACTAGTCACTTAATTATAAATGGCCTTTTCTTTTAAAAAACTTTACTTAATTTTTGTCAATTTGGCCAGATAAAAAAATAAATAAACGAAAATTATTAGGTATAATTCCGATCAAAATTCCTATACTTACGTATCGAATTCTATTTCCGTTGTTTAATTAATAATGTGCCTCTTGAGAACTTGGGAAGTTGCAATTGTGTTTTATATGATAATTTGCCATTTTTTATTTGTTTTCTTAAATAACGTTAATCATGTCTAAGTCCGAAACTCAAATATTGCTTCAAAATGAAAAACACATTTGAATATGCAGAATGTTTTCGCACCTAGGTGTGTATGAATTCAAAATATGTTTCAGCAAACAATGCTTAATGAAATTTAATATATAGGCGTGAACGATGAAAGATGACAAAATATCTTACTATGATAATAAAGAAAAAGAGAACATCACGATAATGTATAAAAGAGTTGAAGCATTTGAGTATTTTTAAAGCTAATTCAGTTTAGATTTATACTTAGTAATCAGGTTCTAATTAATTCCGCAATAAAGCAATCAACCAGTGTTACGAAATTTATAACTACGATGGAAACGCAGATTCATCATTTTTTGAGCCGAATTGAAAAAAATCGTATTTTTCATTGGAAACACACAAAAGATATGTTTGATTCAGTACACCGTTACATACCGATAGTGAGCCTTTTCATTTTTTTATGTGAGCATACAGAATGTCAATATTCCTATGATGCAGAATTGCAGTTTATTTTATGTCAAATACTGCACTTTTAATGGAATTTAATATTACATGGGAAAAGAACAAAGAGTGCAGGAAATTACCGAAATAGCCCACTATAATAATCAACTCCTTTGCAGATTTCGATGAGAATCTAAAGCTGAACTGAACTGAACCAAAATCTATTTGCAATTGAATGCAGTCAAAATTTCCCAACAAAATTCGTTCCATAAACTTTCCATTGTGGCATTTTTATCTCATGTTGCTTGTCTCCATTAAGCGCGCAAAGTAAATAGGTTTTCATAGTGTCTGCATTGTGCGTAGTTTTCCCACTTTTCGGGCACATTGTTCGCTTTATTTTGTTTCGTTCGTTTCGGCCTACTTTCCAAAATATTATATGATAGGGTTCCAACGAATTGCAGCTGGGCTGCCTTCAAAAACACCTATTTAACTAACAAGGTCGGCAATTTATGGTTGCTTATGCTTCATAAGGTATATGATAAAAATGACAATGTTATGAAGTTGTTATTGAAGTTGCACAGTAGATGAATTATTGAAGAAAATGTATTTAAGAGTGTTTCACGGTCATTTTTAGCCAGTAGTCAAAACATTTACGCATTTTATTGTTTAAAGTGGGCCAAATTTGCAGACTCTAATCATAACTGCATAAAAATACTGAAACTAAAAAGAAAACTATTTAATTTTCATGTGCATCAAAGCGTCGCATTATTGGGACTTTGATGATACGTTGCTCTGTGTTGGAGATTGGTCGGTCATTGCCCAAATATACGGTTTTGTCAATAAATTATCTCTGATTGTGAAGAATGCACATTTGGGTATGGTGTATTATTAGTAGCCAGAGTGTTGACTGTTGAAAGATAAATTTGTTGTTCTCCAATTGAACGTTTACCCTCCGAAATATGCAGCCAATGTTTGAACAGTTGAGTAACCCCGATTATTTACCCGATTTTTTTTGTTCGGGCGCAATCCATGTTGTTTAGAGTCAATGCGTAGTAAGATAGATTTAATGAGCCTAAAGATAAAGCGTGTAAAAAAGATATGAAAAGACAAAAACAGAGAAGTTGTCGATCGCCAGCTGTAGATAAAGGCAGCGTTGCGTTCGAGACATTTCAGATGAATTGGCCGAGATAAAAGTGATTTTTTCCGCGGATTGTCCCGTCTTGTAGTATCTCTTTGAAGCCAGTTTGTTAGATTGCATCACGTTTCTCTATAATTTGGAGCAGTAAAAAAATTACTTACATAATTTTATCGCGGCTACGCCACTCAACAGCCATGCTGTAATATTAATTGGTTGCGGTTCAAAAATTTCTTTCCTTCGCTGATAATGGATATTACAAGAGATCTGCATAAACGACATCAATTGTTTTCATTAACACGACACGATTTTCACATATGTAATCATCTGGATCTCTGGAACTCGCCAAAATTTGGGAGTTTCAAAACATCCTAGAGAACGAATCGATCAAACCGGGCAATTGCGATTTGCTTTTTTCGCAATCGATTGTTAGGGACGAATCTGGCTGGCACAGACAATCGGAACTAAATTGTGCAATTTTCGTCTCCATTTGCGGAGATTGCATAATTGCACTCTCGTGCAGGGAAACAAAGCAGTTAGTAGGGCGGTCTCGAATTAATTTCGGTTCGATGGGAAAACTATTTTCCGCGATTTAAGCACTTTTCAACTGGAGATGTCGACTTGCCAAGCAAAAACGCTAAAAAGAAAATGTTGCCTTAAACCCGGGTGAAATGCATTGCTCACTTACTTCTTAAAGTTCTCTTTTAATTCAAGAATCTTATGAAGCATCAGCAATCGATTTTCCGCGCATAGCAAGCTATGGCCTGAAAATTAAAAATATGTCTTAAAATACTGTGAAAAATACATTTCTTGAACATGTTTTTTTCGTAAAAGTACTTTTATTCGCATTGTAAACCCAAATATTACCCGGTATCGAAAATTCTCCAGACTATCGATAGCAAACGTTTCCCGGCTTGGAGCAGATGGGGAACTGATTATGCACACTCGGGAGCACTAAATTTAAATTTGAATTCCTGTTCAATAAAACGGTTTTCATCTTAGGTTCGAGTGATTTTGGTTCAATATTATGATCGTTCCCAGTAATTTGAATAACCTAATAACGCATTATTTAACTTGATTTGCTTAAATTAGCACTCATTCTTTCTTCTATTGCCTACTAGCTGGCTCCCATCTGCTAAATGCCTATAATCAATAAATCAATGAACAAACGAAAACAACTTTTTTGAAACCATTTTAGCAGACAATTCTTAACTGAATGTGATTGTAGTTATTTGCGACCAAGCAGTACAATGATCCAAATTTAGCCACCACTTTCAATTGGATTTATAGGATGGGTCAATATTGATCTTTGGCAAATAATATCTCAATTATGTTTCTTAATGATAATGTTAACAATTTTAAGGGGATATGATTCGGAGTTTAAATTGAAAAAAACAGCCGTGTTTGGGGTCTTTTAAAAACCCTCAAATTCCTAGCTCGTTAACCCAAAATAAATCATTGTGTTATTGGTTTGACCGCACTGTTTATACTGTATTTCATTCTATATATAAAAAAGACGTCGGAATCCTTGTTTGTTATTTAGCGACCACCAGCTAATAGCCAATCAAATTGACGTAACAGCGAGTTATTAGATAAATAACTTGGGACGCTTCACGAAAAACTAGTCTTGTATTTGTCCGGAAGCTAGAGGGCGACCTTTTCTTCGGCTATGAGTGAACGAAATTAAGGGTTTGAACCGAAAAAAATCGTCTTTCGTTTGTATGTTTAGTGAGCAGGAACAAATTGCTAGTAGTGATTTCGTAGTTTGTGTGCTTAGTGGTTAAAGTAAACGTTGAGTATGTTGAGGGGTAAAAGTTTTGACACATTTCTGGACGACTTTCGGATTAAGCCAAAGAAAAGAGTGAGTTTTACATTGTGGATTTAGGCCTGTGAATAGTCTGTGTTGATCTAGGAAGAAATTAATTGCTTTTCGAGCTAATGGAATTATAAACAATTTTTCTTGAAAATAAAAATTGAAACCTCTATATTTGCATGTTTCAATGTTTAAATATTGAATCTAGAAAGTTTGCTTCAGTTTCGTCTATTTTTGATCACTACTTGTTTTTCCTATTTCTTCCAGCTGGCACTTGAATTATTTATTACTCGAACTCGGAAGTTTTCAAATTATATTATTATTTTCTAAATCGATTGAATCAATTGAGGTAGAAGTGCCTAAGTAATAAACTTTTGCAGAGTTACAAACTTTTTCCGAGGTAAACACGGATTATTATATTTTTCTTTTTGATTTATTCTACCTTTTGATAATAATAGCTACAAATATTGGGTAAACGTCACATGTGGCACAATAAATGGTTCTTAACGGTTCACATATTGATAGAATGAGTTTTCATGTTTAAAGTGTTTTCCAATAAGAGCGATTGAGCGGCCATATACGCATGTTAGCAGCAAAAATTATGTTAATTTATAATGTTTATTAATTTATCTGCTGGTTATAACGTCGATTAACGCATTATTTCTTTTATGCAATGTTTTTTATATAGGGTTGTGGGTTTTGGGTTCGTCCACATTAACCGCAATTTGATTATTTTGATTTTCCAATTTAACCGATTTTAATTACCCCATCACCATGCATTGTTTTTAGTGCAACCTATTAACGCTAATAGATTAATTAAACCACAGGATTTTAACTGAAGCATATTGATTGTATTAAGCTGAGCTTTATTAACAAGCGACGATGGCTGTTGGACCATGTGTGGAAAGAGACTACTTTGTTTAACAGAATCGGTCGAATATTTTCTTATTTTGCGTTTATTTAAAACGTATTAGGGTTTTCTTGTTTTAACGTCACGTTAGTTCCGACTTCTTTGTGCACTTTTTCTTGATTCCTGTGCTTTACCCTGGACAACATAACAAAATTTAGGAATCAACTGATCAATAAGATGAATTTCTGAAAATTCTAATCAATAAAATGATTATCTGAAAACTCTTGAGAATTTGCGATTTTTCGGTTAAGTTTATTTATTATTATTTAATTTAATTAAGCTGTTGGGAGTATGTGTATTTATTCTCAATTTTTTAAAAGCGATACGATCCTAAATTAGCTTATCGGCGCGCAATGCTGAAATAAAACTCTAGCAATTCCTATGGTCGCCTAAATGCTTTAACTAACCATTATTTGTTTGTGATCCATTTATTTATTTCGACCAGCAAATCTAGTTAAGAGCTCCGCGCTCTTTAATTGAATTAAACTGGGTTTTATAACATCCGTAGGCGCCATCATCCCGTATCTGTCAGTAGCTGGTTTTATCCTCCTATTTATAGATTATCGACTTGAAAATTAGACGGTTTGACATATTTAACCAGCTAAACAGAAGCAACACAACATCAAACCTCTAGATCTGATGTTTTAAACCCGTAATTCTTATTTTTGCACGCGATGTTCATACGTGAACATGCAAAACCGTGCTCTATTACGTGGAGGAATTTGCCCTATAAAGGTCGGGGGGGAAAATCCTGATCATCATAAAAGGAAACTGGGAATCCATTAATCTTGTTTTTATTTGCTAATTCATTAATGGTTGTTGCTCGTAACCTTATTCACACCAACGCCTTAATGCTATATTTATATGTGAAGTGTTATCGATATGAAGTAAGGTCAGAGGGATTTGTTTGTTTTATTGTTTAATTGCCAAAAGAAACATTAGTATTTATTATATACAGGAACGCAAACGCTAAGTCATGTGTAGAACTATTTATGTAATGGCTTTTGTTAAATATTGATCCTATTTGAGCAGTCAATATCGTCAGTTGGAGGTGATTTTTTTAAATTATTCTCATCAATATTTAAAATATCTATTCATTCCTTGTGTCACGTAGATTTCTAATCATCAATTTTTGCAGTCGAAAAATTGATTTCTTCAGGCATTTATTGCCCGATGACCTTTCTGGCCGCATTTGCATTTCCAGCCATTCCTTCGTCTTGGGACTGTTTCTGGAAAAATCGATGGAAAGGTCTGGGACTCAAAAGCCTGTAGCGTGATTTCATTTACCTAAATCCACTGCCGCAAATTTGGAACAAAGAACCTATTTAAGGCAAGGAAATTGAAAAACGCAGTTGAAGCAGCCCTTGTTTAGCCAACAACTACCTCGTTTAGACAAACAGCTCCAAATGGCAAATGTGCAATTTGTGCGGAAAGTTTTTCGCTTTAAGATCATTTTATGGTGCTAATTATTTATGTTTTACTCCAATTAACTTCGTAACTTTTGTGTCAAGCCCAATACAGTTCTTTAAATCCCTACTCAATCCCTACTTACTCAATGAAAAATATTTTTTTCATTGAGTGATTGGCCAATCAAGAATAACCCAATTTTTCAAGAACAACGTTTTCACAACTAGCCCCCATTCCCGATAAATCAGCTTGCTTTTCTTTAATTAGTTGTTTTCATACTATTGTCTATTAGTTTTCAGTGGCACTTTAACAAAGCCCCTCATTCACTAACGCTATTTTATTAGCAAATTTTTTCTCTGTAATGTATTGTTAAATTGTTCTCGTCTGTGAAGTGTGTCGCGCTGTTCTCACCAAATCAACAACAGTTTATTGTTTTGTAAAAAAACTGTAATTAATTTCGACATTTTTTAATTGCTTTTAGAAAAAATCTGCTTAATCTGAGAGACAGGTAACAATACAGCTTAAAGAATGAGCAATTTATTAACGATCAGCCAAAAGGCGGCGTGATTGTTTCTGCAAATCTATTGGAATTGTTATTGTTTTCAAGGGTAGACGAAGTGGAAAGCGGATTTAACATTGAATCTGCTTATTGTTGCTTAATGGCTTAGAAATTAATTGTGACAAGCGCTTCATGTCGATTTTTGTTGGTGTAATTAATGTCTAATTCGGCATTAAGATATATAAATGGAAAATGGTGGTGGAAAACATGTTAAAAGGGGCAAATCTGCCAATAGCCAACATTCGAACCGAAGCAATTTCATGATTATAATTGCATAATAATTTACATTTCCAATTGAATATTTGAAATATATTATTGATTTCAAATATTAATTTCAATAAATGCTATAAATTAAATTGTTTTTGCTACAAAATGATGAAGGTTAAACTGAAACTTTTTCGAGCATGATTTTGGACATTCACACGTTCAAATTGGCAGACTAGCAAGTACAGTAAAGTGCATTGTTTTTAAAATATGAACATTTTAGGGCTAACAACAAAGCTCCATAACTCCTCGGTTGACTCATCAACACTACGACGATTAATAATTATGTAAAAAATGTTCAGACGTAAATGAATGGTTAGTCAGCAATGACCAGTTTCAATAAAACTACTTCAAAAAATATTAAAGGGAAATTGCCATTTGGAAAACCACAATTAGATCGACTTAAACGAGTAAAACTAATTCAAACCTGGCCCACCTGGCTGCAAAACCGATGAAATTTCAGGGAATCCGAAGAGAACAAATTTAATTCCCCAACCTCGAACGGTTCATTATGTCGGACAAAAAAGGGGACAGTTTCGGAAAGTTTCGCAGTTGTGCCAACCGAGGGCAACACGACATCGGTTAACACTCTGGATATATTACTGGATAGTTTAATACTTAAATAGAAATCGCTTGTATATTTCGGGAATTGTATTTCTTGCCCGCTTGTGTACAGACCCTATAGATTTACCTACTTAACAATGATTGTTTGCAATTTTAATTAACTCTTTATTTAAGTAAATTGAATGCTTCTCCCACGAGATTTAGAGCAAATTTTCAAGTTCTTACGGATGGTTTTTCTTGCGATTTCAGCCCCCTATCCAACGACAACTAACCACGGGCTGTATTCCCAAAGAAAGCCTTTCCCCACACCAAGACTCCAAAGATGATTTGCGGCTCGTCCACAACAACAATATCAAGTTCTCGCCAGCGGGTTCTCCCCATCTTTTGGGGGGCACTACGCCGCCCCTTTCGCCACAACAGCCTCCCCAAGCGAGGAGGATTCTGCAGGAGGCTTTGGCTAGACCGGGACCCTATGCTATGATTCCTGGACCACCCAAAGGGTAAGTCGACAGTTTTTTTCTCTTTAGTTTTCTATTCCTTATTGTTTCCACAATTAATTGTCTGGACTTTTTTCTAATTGGGAGGAATTTTGCCAGTCTAAGGCATTGCTTCTCATAAAGACGCCAATGTGAAATGCTTCGGGATGGTGTTAATATTTACAGCAGGTTTGCAATATATACAAGTCCAACGCGATTTCTCGCATGATATTCTTCAGTGAAACGTTGTCGATGTATGTAAAATGTAGACGACTATTCGAGCTTGATAACGATGCAAAATAGTTGTTCTAAGGTGTGATGTGTACGGTCGAAATCCCCCAAACAAACTACATTTGTTTCTGTTAATCAGAATCATCTGAAGAGTCTTAAAAAGTTCAAAGAGTTGGGCATAGCTAATTGGCCACCTAGTGTAATCTCGAAGCAATGCGTGCGTTGGTTGATTGTTATGCAAATGCCAAATGGTTCCACTCTGCCTTTACTAACACCTACATCTACCCCAGTAAATAAACGAGTTGGGTGATGTAAATTCTGAAACTTTTAACTCAATTTTCAGGTACTGGGTGGATGGAACTGACCATGACGAGCAATGCGATATACGGGGAGTGCCCATCATTCCCCATCAGACGTGGAGAGCTAAAATCGAAACTGACGACACAGCCAAGTGCTACAGGCGATTTTTCGTCGGAAGGGTGAGTTGAATTGGGAATTGATTGGTTTGTTGACTATCCACTGCCTGCATGTGCAGTAAAATAGTTTTGATTAAAACTGTGAGTTTAATCATTCGTCATGGTGTCGCCACAATACCGGACGAACAATGATCGGCTCACCCATAGGAGTAGCACACCTAGCAATGAAAGATACAATGAAGGCGAGTCGTTTTTATCATAATTCGCCTACGTTGCCCGCCGAAGAAGGCGGCGTTATGTGGCTTGCAGCAGACCTTTTGAAACTTTCAATAAAAATAAAAAAGTCTGTAAAATAGGCCTGGGTAACACTGTGTTAAGTTGCGCTATTGAAATGTTTCGCTCTCTGAGATAACTAGTTATCACTCATCTGTTAAAGCTTTACCAGACTCAGATATGATGAATTTTTGACCAAAGCAGCTGTATACATTTGTTGTATAAAAATAATTGAAAATTCCTTTTGCCTGCAACTGTACTTTCAATCAGAAAATGTATCCAATAGTGATAAAGTCTAAAAATTCTTGTTTATTTTGCCTAAGTGAAAATTTACCCTCAGTTCCATCGGCAAGTAGAAGCGGCCTTTCGAAAGGAAATCTCGAGGCTCATATCCGGCCTACGGGTAATCTAAAACGCCAAAAAGGCCTTAATAAGCGCCTGTGCCCCTATTGTTCGAACCATGAGAATGGGAAACTTCCCACATTCCATAGGCAGGAACTATTCATGATTAGTATTCATGGATTAATTGCTACTCGCGATTTTTTAATTGCCGTAGTCGTTAGGAATTTAATGCCCGCCGATCGGACTAATTGTGTTTTACTGACAGTTCGGTTTAGGTGAAGAAAACTCTTAATTTAAATAAAAACGTGCGGTCGAAGGACGTTTTTTTAATAAACCATCCATTGTGAAATTAACCATAAACATCGCAAATTTGCCTTTTCATTGTTTGTCCTTTGCGCTTATAACATAACAAACGTGGTGTTGGAGTTTTTAAAAGGGCGATTATTATCGCCTCATTTTCCTTGATCTTGATCGATATAAAAACAGCTGTTAAACCATATTTCGCAGCCAGGACTATCACAAAATGAGCAAGAACGCTCATTTGTACATTATTCTAGAGAGAAGTATAGGATAGAGAAGTATAAGGAAATGCTGGCASYTTTYTCRAAAAATGCTTGAATTCAAGAAGTTTTAGGTTTGCGTCGATTTTTTTGAGCTGCAAAATCCACTTGAACATGACGTTGCTTTTTTCGATGTTTCTCAAGAACCATTCGAGCCACAGAATTCGTTTTGGCATCGTTGGATAGAGAATTGAAAACTCGATTCAGTCGTAACAACGTGAGCGGGGAAATTCGAATAGTTTTGGCACAGAAAGCGAAATTTAAATATCAAACACTT